GGGCAGGAGCACAGACAGGAGCAGTTCTCTCTGTGCCCAGGTGTTATATTTATAACAGCTTTTTACTATGAAGGTATGCTTTAAAGTCCAAGGTTTTCTAGTGGTCTGAGGGGAACTGCAGAGCTCTGTGCAACTGCCAAGGCTACCACTGATCGCTCAGAAGATCATAACAAAACAAAACAAAAATTGCACAATGTGAAAACCTGCAAAAACCACCTACTTGGTTCCATCATAAACAATGGATTTGACTTGACCACATTGTCTGAACAGGGATTGCAGCTGCTTATAATACAAAAAGCCATAGGGAGGAATGTTCTTCAACTGTTAGGAAAAATAAGAATGCACCTTCAGAAATATTTTATTTTGACATTTTCAAACAAACTTTTAACATTATTTTTAAAATAATAATTAAATAAATGAACCATTCTTAAATCATTCTTCAATATTTAAACATTTTAAGACAAATTACCAAGGCAAATGTCAGTTGATTGACATTAAGTCCACTGAAATGTGAAAACCAGTTCTCTTCTTTCCAGTGGCCTACCAGCATCCCAGGTTCTGCTGTCTATGTACTTACTTCCTGCCAGAAGAATATAGTGTCTCTTGGCTCCCATGTAAGGTTTTACTGGTTCCATTTTTTTCTTTGTTCCCAACCTCAATTCCTCCTAGATTTTGCTCCTTTTCTTATATTCTTCTTTCAATCCACTATAAGTGGACCTGAAATGGACTAGGAAGGGAAGCAGCTATGTATGCTGTAGCCATGAAAACTATGTCACAATAAATATGTTAAAATGCCACAAGATTCTTTGTTACATTGGCCACAAAAGATTAATGCAGCTACCATGTGGAAATGTATGATCCCATTGTGAGATCCACTTAAAACTTAATTTACATACCATCACTGTTGTTTTGAGATCTCTGCCTGACAATTCCCTCACAGCAACTTCTTCATCATGTTGCCCAAAAGTAAAATAATTTGGATAGAAAGCTCCAGCCATTACCACCTGAGAAATAAGAGGGAGTAAGTTGCTGTAAAAGGGGCAGTTCCCTCTTAGCAAACCCCTTCCCACTGCAATTACTGAAATATGATCATGTGATCCACACTCCCATTCTCAGGTACATGCTTTTGTTCCTCTAACTTACATATGTTTTATCCCCTTGGTTCCCCAATACACTAGAGAGCCTACCTGGTGGTGACATCTCTGGATGGAATAGCTCCTTAAAATATGAGGATGATTTAATATTACACCTACTGAATAGTAAGTATGCATGTGTGAAAGTCTTGCAAAGAACCCAACATTCAGTTACAGAGCACACATTTTTAAGCAGAAGATGCAGTTTCAACATTTGGGCATTTGTAAGGACAGAGCAGGGAATGTCCCCAAGGAAAATTGCAGCCACTCATTCCTAATGAAAAAAAACCCCTTCCTTGAAGGATCTTTCCATACTTGGAGGAGAGTACTATATATATCTCTTTGAGCCATTGGGAGGAAAAGTGGGATATAAATGTAACAAAGAAACAATACAAAGCACTAAACCATACAAGTTAATTGTATTCGCATATATATGTTCACATCCAGAGGAATACAGAGCTCGTGTTTAAAGACTAAAAACAAGAAAATTATGACTACAAAATCTGTGTATCTTTATTTTAATCATAGTTTTGTCTGTGTTTCTAAATTGTACCATTACAATACAAAAGGAGCAGTAAATGTATTCAAAGCCACACTCTGAAATTAATCTGTTTAAGTCACAACAAATTCATAAATGTTTTGAATATCCCTTAAAATATTTCTAATATAACCAACCCTCTCACCTGCAAAATAAAACGCTGCTTATATACATGGTCATGATCCATGACAGGAGAATGAGTGTTGACATACATATTCAATGCACCAACTCTTTTTTTCAACTCCTCATACAATTCAGCCACCTAAAAATTGTAAAACTGTTTTAAAACTCATGAGGACCTAAAAAATAAATGTGCATGAAGATAAAACACTTCTACGAAATAAAGTCCCACATGTTTATGTCCTAGACTTTTGCTGATAACCTACTTAATATTACCTGAGCAGTAGACTGAGTTAATCCAAGAGTAGCCTTCCCATGTTCTGGTGCCTCTCGGATGTGTAACATTAATAATTTCCAGAATTCCTAGCATCATGCTGGCTAGGAATTCTGGGAGTTCTTCCAATAAGATCCTGGGTTTTCAGTGTGAATATGATTTGAAGGTTGGTTGCTGAATATAACATGAGCTCTGTGTGATGGAAGTAAAGCACATATGGAATGAACAGAATGCTTAACAAACAGTTCAACACTGGGCAGGATTAAGTAATGTCCCCTTAATTGTTTCATGTATTTTAGTATAATAATATGAGGAGTGCTTCTGGTGGTTAGAAGTGTGTTAACTAAGACCATGAATGATTTGTAATTGCACAGGCTGAATGATTCAACAAGGAACATAGGTTTGAAAATTATGTAATTGTGCTTGACATGGAAAATGAAGATACATGGCAAAAAACTAGAGTCAGTAGTTGAATTTGTGCATCTTGGCAGAATGTTTACCAAAGATACAGGATGGATGGAGAAATTTTAATACATACAGATGGTGATAAAAAAAAGCAGTGGGTAGCATGTGGCCTGCTAAAAGAATAAATTATTGTCAAAAGAAGCAAAAATGGCTGTGTATAACAGCATGCTTCTGCCCACTTTGTTACAGAAATCAGACTTGGGAACATTAAGAGAAATATGAAAGTAAGTTGAAAGGCCATGTAGTCTGTTAGCCCCTTCCATTACTGAAAGAGAGAGGAGAGATCAGGGGAACAAGAAGCAGGAACCAGAAGTGATGCTAGCCCTAAGAATATCAGTCTGTATTTTCTCTTTCATCCTGCTACCCATTAAAGCTTCTGGAATACAACCGCTACTAAGTGCTATAGTAACCTTAGTAACAGAGAATGATTCAAAAGTACCCATGAGCAGTTTTTTCTAATTGCTTATAGCAGGAACATGCAGTTTTGTTAAGCAATGCCATGTGATTTCAGTCAACAAATTGCAATTTTCTCTTTCCATTCCACTTTAATAGAATTTAACCGAGATAACATGACTGTTGGTCTTATCTGAACATGTGTCCAAATCTTCAGCAATCAAAATATTAGCTTAGCAGTTTCCAATACTGCGTGATGCTGTTCAGATTATCGGGGGCACCCGGGGTCTTTATGCAGTTAATTAATGAGGTGTTACATGAGCATTTATACAAGGGGGTGCTGGTGTATTTGGACGATATCCTAATTTACACTGAAACATGGGAGGAGCATGTACAGCTCGTGAGGCAGGTGTTGCAGAAGCTATTAGAAGCACAATTATATGCTAAACTCTCAAAATGTGAATTTCACCAAGAACAAACTGACTACTTGGGCTATAGAATTTCCAGTTGGGGGGGGTGGAAATGGATCCAAGCAAAGTCCGTGATATAGTAGCATGGGAGGCGCCAAAAACCAGGTGTCAGCTACAGAGCTTCTTAGTCTTTGCTAATTTTTACCGCCAATTCATCCCCAACTTTGCTCAGGTTGCCCTGCCTTTGACAGACTTATTAAAAACCAAGGGCAAGGACAAGGAAAAAGCACAGAAACCAAGCTCCCCATTAAACTGGACTAGGGAATGCCAGGAGGCATTTGAGCGATTAAAAAGACTATTCACTGCAGAACCCATTCTGAGCCACCCAGATCCAAAGAAACCTTTTGTAATTCAGGCAGATGCCTCTGATGTGGCAATAGGAGCAGTCCTATTGCAAAAAGATGAAGGGGGACTATTGCTACCATGTGTTTATTTGTCCCAGAAATTCACTGAAACAGAGAGGCATTGGTTAGCATGGGAAAAGGAGGCATTTGCAGTGAAGTGGGCTTTGATGAATTGGAGGCACTTGTTGGAGGGGTCCAATCTACCGTTTGAGGTGTGGACTGATCATAAAAACCTAGAGGCTTTAAGATCCCCTAGGGAATTGTCTCCCAAACAAGTTTGTTGGGCACAGTTTTTCAGCCAATTCCAATTTACTTGGAAATACATTCCAGGGGGTAAGAATTTTTTAGCAGATGCCCTCTCGCGCTTGTCCCAACACAATAGTCAGAGGGAAAAGGTGGTGTCAGCAATTATTCTGAACCATCAAGAGGTGTTAGCTGCTGTAACCAGAGCACAGAGCAAAGTGAAAGAACTGGCCCAGGGTCTGCTGAAGGAAATTAACTCCCATATTGACAAAGATGAATGGTTCTTACAAAATAAAGCGGACTTAGAGGAATGGGAAGGAGCGTGGTGGAGGGGAGATACATTGTACGTTCCTGTCGGAGCCCTAAAAGAAGTACTTGAAAGAAGCCATGACAATAAAACAGCTGGGCATTTTGGCTTCGTGAAAACCCTTCACCTCCTCTGGAGGCAATTCTGGTGGCCAACCATCCGAAAGGATGTGGCAGACTATGTAAATACATGCCCCACATGTGCAATGGCAAAGAAGCAAGGGGGTAAACCCAGAGGATTGCTGCAATCAGTGGCAAACCCTACCAGACCCTGGGAAGAGATTGCAATG